TAAGCGGTAAAAACCGCTAAAATTCACCAGAGCGGATGCATTAATAATTCGGCCTGTTGAAAAGGCAATCTATGCTGAGATACTGCGCCGAATAAAGAATGAAGTCCCTAATGAGCAAGTCTGCAATACGGTTGATAAGATCCGCAAGACCAAAGACGGAGACATGCTCATCGAGCTCTCTAGAAAGAGCACTGACAAAGGACAAGCTCTACAAAAGACGATCCAGAGTATCCTGAAAGAGGAGGCCAAAGTTATCAGTAAGGGCCCACAGAAGCAATTAGAAATCCGGGACATCGATGACACAACAACTAAAGATGACATCCGGGCGGCGTTACAGGAAGTAGCTGGAGATAGCTTTGAGATACCGGAAGGAGCTATCAAAATCAGACCAGCCTACAGAGGTACCCAAACTGCACTAGTGACTCTACCAATAACAACAGCGCAGACAGTACTCGGAGAAAGGGGCAAGATCAAGATCAAGATCGGATGGTCGAATTGCCGGGTTAGAGTTGTGGAAAGACCACAAGCGTGCTTCAAGTGCTGGCACTATGGACACGTTGCTGCCCAGTGTAGAAGCGGAATAGATCGATCAAAGCTCTGTATTAAGTGCGGACAAACTGACCATCTAGCAGCTAAATGCCCTAATGAAGCAAAGTGTATGTTATGTGATGAAAAACCCGGCTCAACAGATACTGCCCACAGGGCTGGTTCTAGTAAATGCCCAGTTTTCCAAGAAGCACTCCAGAAGACAACAAATAAACGAGCATGAAAATATTACAGCTAAACATTAATCATTGTAAGGCTGCACATGACTTGCTTCTGCAGACAGTGCGTGAACTGGGGCCTGACCTTATACTAATAGCCGAGCCATATAAATGCCTTAAAGGCAAATTATGGGAAACGGACACGACCACCAGGGCCGTCATTTGGTCCTGTGGCAAGCTCCCATTACAGAGCGTAGTTAACAATTGCAATGCCGGCTTTGTAGCAGTATCAGTAGATGGTGTTCGCTTCTATAGCTGCTACGCACTACCTAGCCTCTCTATTGTTGATTTCACTGACTTTCTGGATCGACTGACAGAAGACGCGAAGCAGCATCATCCAGTCGCGATAGCCGGTGACTTTAACTCCTGGGCAGTAGACTGGGGTAGCAAGCTAACTAACGCACGAGGTAAAGCGTTACTTGAGGCTTTTACTGCACTAGACGTAGTCTTACTCAACAGTGGTGACACACCAACCTACACCAAAGGAGACGCAAGTCCCATCGTAGACCTCACGTTCGTCAGTAGTAGCCTCGCGAGAGGTAACCTCAACTAGAAAGTGCTAGATATCTACACTGCCAGTGACCACAACGCGATTCTCTGGGAAATATCAAATGACCAGGATAATAGAGGAACTTGTAAGTTACCTAACCACATTCGGTGGAGAGTAAAATCTTTCGAAGCGGGTACGCTGACGACTGCTTTGGATAACGGCCCGATCACCGCTGGATGCGCAGAAGATCAGACTAAAGAACTTATAAAAAGAGTGACCGAAGCTTGTGACGCCAGTATGCCACGAAAACGAGACATAAATAGAAGACCCGCGGTGCACTGGTAGAACGATCACATCAGCGCTCTTCGTAAAAAATGTCTCAGGAAAAGAAGAAAATCACAGCGTGGCTCCCGTCGACCTAACTTTGCAGAACTGGCGGCAGAGTATAAACAGGCCCGTCGGGAACTAAACAAAGCCATCAAAGACAGTAAAAGACGCTGTTGGAAAAAACTCGTCGAAGAAGTAGAGAAGGACCCATGGGGCAAACCGTACAAGATGGTCACGGCCCACCTGAAATACCAGCCAATACCGTCGCCTACGTGTCCGCGGCTCCTAGAGAGGACTGTTACTGTGCTGTTTCCTCAACAACCGATATTCACCGGCCAGCTAAGGCAGCTAAACCCTGAAGACATTCCATATGTCACGGAAGAAGAACTAATGGAGGCTTATAACCGCGTCGGGAATAACAAAGCGCCGGGACTAGACGGAATCCCTAATATTGCCTTGAAAACAGCCATAAAGGCAGCACCAACGTTATTCTTGGAAGCTTACAATAAGTGCCTCAAGGAAGGGACATTTCCACGGAAATGGAAACAACAACGACTGGTTCTACTCCCGAAAGGAAAGAAGCCACCAGAAGAGCCGTCATCTTACCGTCCACTTTGTATACTGGATACAGCCGGTAAGATATTCGAACGCAAAATTCATCAAAGAATAGAAGCAGTTATGGATCCACTCCTGGCAAACAACCAGTATGGATTCCGAAAAAGACGATCAACCCTGGACGCGATCAATCCGGTTGTTAATATGGCCCAGGAGGCAATTGCAGGAACCAGAAGGAAGGGTGGTACGAAGAAGTACTGCATGGTCGTCTGAGTGCCCTCAGAGTAGCTTGCGCCTTCCGCACAATATCTGAGGAAGCAGTGTGCGTCATTTCTGGAACTCTATTTCTCAGAGTCCTAGCTGAAGAAAGACGGAACCTTTACCAACGAAAGAGGTCAACAACACTGAGCGCAGAAGAACTCAGAACGGAACAAAGACAGCACAGCATCGCACGATGGCAATCTCAGTGGGATGCCGCAGAGAAGGGTAGATGGACGCATCGTCTCATACCAAAGATCGACATTTGGCTGAACCGGAATCACGGTGAGGTCAACTACTACCTAACACAGATGTTGTCAGGACATGGCTGCTTTCGGGCTTATCTTCACCGCTTTAGGCATGACGACTCTCCGGAGTGCCCGTCCTGCCCTGGAGCCACTGAAGATGCAGAGCACGTTCTTTTCGAGTACTCGCGTTTCAATCAACAACGTGAGGAGCTGGAGAAGATTCTGAAGAAGACAATTCAACCAGAGTCAATCGTAGAAGCAATGCTGTCTTCAGAAGCTGCCTGGAATGCAACGAACACTTTTGCCACAGAAGTGCTTACAGAGCTGCGTTCCATCGAGAGAAAAAGAGCAAAAGACAGAAACTAGAAGGAAGATAACATCTTAGCCACCAGAAGGAAGAGCAGCAGCTAATTCCTCCCCCCGCGAAGAAATGCCTTACGGCGGTACCATGGGGGATCAGAGGATAGAAGAGAAAGGGGTTTAGGGTTTAGTGGGTAGGGGCGTCAGCGTCAAGTTTTAGTACGACGCTGCGTCGAGTCGCCACATATCCGGGCCAACATCTATGCCTAGAATCCGTAAAAAGGATTCCTCCCCCCTAAAGGAAAAAAAAAAAAAAAAAACACACAAACACACACACGAAGTAATTAAAACATTGTATGTTGCTTTAGTAAGACCTAAGTTGGAATATGCTTCTATAATCTGGTCACCGATTTATAAAAAACATATTTCAAACATAGAAAAAGTTCAACGTAAATTTCTTAAATACTAAATGTATAAGAAACATGGTAATTATCCTGAAAGACAATCTGACTATCTTGTCATGTGTGTTGACGCTAATATTCTGACGCTAGAAGAGAGAAGAATATGTGCATCAGTGATCCTCTTATTAGGACTTTTAAAGGGCAACATTTTTTGTCCCAGATTTCTGCAACAGATTCCCATCTCGGTTCCGCAGGTTTCTACAAGATCAGCCTTACCTTTCTACCCACCTATTGCAAGAAATAATATATCTATGGCTTCACCTTTATGTAGAATATTGAATATTTGTAATTACATAGCTGAAAACTGCAATGACATCGACTTCTTGGGCTATAACTAGCACTCTAGTCGTAGCACCAACGTACTCGCTACTCTCTTAACGTCGCTAAGATAATGTTTCAAACACTCAAACATTCAATATTCTCTTGTATTAATTATCATAATTATCATATTGTACAGTATATAGGATTATTTATATCGCATTATATTCTATAATTAATGTAAAATAACTAATTTATATATGCATTTGTTTTTTTATCTAATTTTAATTACTGCTTGTACTATGCTTTTTAGTTACTAAGATATACCATGTATTAACTTGTAATACTGTGTATAAACTTTTAATGACCCTGTTATTGGCCTCATAGCTGTTGGGTCTTATTATACCTAAATAAATAAATAAATAAATAAATAAAAAGGATTCCCCCCCCCCTAAAGGGAAAAACACACACACACACACACACACACACACACACACACACACACACACACACACACACACACACACACACACACACACACACACATACATACTGTGACGTTATTTTTCGATACGGGTCTATGACAAGTGAACGTCACATGGCACAGTCCTATAAATTTGTCTTTTGTTACCTCTAGTGATAACTCAAAATTATTTTATTCGATTTGTGTTGATAATTAATTAAATTGTGATAACTTAGTGGTAGATAAAGTAGATATTTTGGGTATTATCCTATTCTTTCCCGCTTCACAGCATTTATAACATTTGTTAAAAAAATGTGGAACGCTTCACGATTTTGCGTGTCATC